CAATCAACTGTTGTTTCTAATACCAGCCTTAGAAAGAGAGAAGGTCGTCCTCACCAATATCACGGCCTAAGTCGTTATCGAAACGGGAGATGGGTTGCCCAAATTAAATATCGAGATGCACACATTTCGTTGGGTACATACTCTACCCCTCATATGGCAGCCGCTGCGTATGACGCGGTTGCTTATGCCTTGCGAGGTCGTCGTGAGGAACTCAACTTTCCTGCTTTTGTCGAACATTACCCTAACCCCACATCCTCTACCAAGGCGGACCTGAAACGAGTTGCCACTCTAGCGGCTGCCATGATGGACCCACAAGGTGCTACTGCCACAACGAGGCAAACTTAAAGAATAATTTCGTTTGTGGATTTTCGTAGGAAAAGGGGAAAAAGTAGGAGGAAAACCTTTTCATTTGCTTGTGTAGAAAGGAAAGAAAAAAAGTGAGAGAAAAAGAAAATGAGAAGGCAAAATGCATTAAGAGGAAAAAAAATCAAAATTTTCCCGTTTTAGTAAGGAAAATAGGAGAAAATCATTTTCTTTTCTTTCCTTCCAAAAGCATTGAACCAAACATAGTGTAAGAGTCAAAATACTCACTGGCGGATCCAAGTTTAAGGCAATGGCCCCTAATCAATTTTTTAAATATATAGCGTAGAAATTTTTTTGTGATAAATTTAAAATATTTGAAATCTGTAGTAATAAGAGAAAAATATTAAATTAAGAGTCAAATATAGACAAAGTACTAGAATATGAGCTTAAATGCTTAATGCTTTTATTTACTAAAATAGGAATTACATTCTCAATAATATAATGTCAATATATAATATCAAAACACAATGTATAATTCTACTATATAGTGTCACATTGGCATAATGTAAAATTCTATTTTGGGGCTAAAAACATTAACCTCCTGGTACGTACTTTGTTTATATTTTATTTCTATTTTGAGTTATTTTATTAGTTATATTAAGTTATGATATATTTTATATGGAGTATTATATTTTTTAAAAAAATATTTTATTTTACTTATTTGAATACTTGTTTGAACCCCGGCCCGGCCTACTCCTACTACTCGGCCAAATAGCGCCAGTACCCCTCGTGGTTTGTAAAATAGGCACCAAAACCCCCTCTGTTTTCAAAACTTATTTCTAAAGTCCTCGTGGTTTCAAAATGTTGCACCCGCGCCCCCTCTGATTATTTTCCGGCCATTTTTCCGGCGAAAAAGGGGGCATTGATGCATATTTACTAAACCACAGGGGGTATCGGTGCTGATATTTATTTCTCGCTTATTTTTTTTGTTTTTTTTCTTTTTTTCCTTTATTTGTTTCTTTTATTAATAAAGGTTTTTTAAAAATTATTTTTATAATGTTCATAAAATTTAAAGTTATTTTTGTTTGAAAAAATTAACATATAATGTATGTTAATTTTTTTTATTTTTATTTTTATTTCAAACACAAAAAATTTTAAAAATTTTAAAACATGATAAAAAATTGAAAATAAATTAGAAAAAAATCTAGGAAAAAAAAGATAGAAAATATTTATAAAAAAAAAAAGGAAAACACAAATAATAAACGAAAAATAAAAAATGAGCACGGATGCCCCCTATGGTTTAAAAATTATCCGTAAATGCCCCCTCTTCGAGGGAAAATGGCCGGAAAATGATCAGAGGGAGCATGGGTGCAAATTTTGAAACCACGGGGACTTTAAAAGTAAGTTTTGAAAATAGAGGGTGTTTTGGTGCCCATTTTCCAAACCACAGTGGGCACCGGAACTATTTGGCCCCTACTACTCCGTATAACTTTGCCCCAGTGAACATTTTTTTAGATCCGTCATTGATACTACCAGTGTCGTCACACACTCGATTTCCTCTTTCACCCATCACACTCGATTCCCTCTTTCACTCATCCTGAAATAGTTTCTCTTTTTTTTCTCCCTATTGAATATATGGTCCAAAATATTCCTTTCTTTAAAAAAATTCTAAGCAATTTTTTTTTTGTTAATTTCCCAAATACTTGTTTGTATGTCCATTAAATCAAAATGAACAAATTAATTTGAGACCAAGAGAGTAGAGTATATAATTAATATACATAATTAATAAATCAGTAACAATCATATATCATGAAGTTATTCAATTCCATCATGTTCTATATCTTCATCTCGTATTCATGAAAACCAATTATCTTGTATATATAGCTGTTACAGATCCTTCCCCACATGAGCGTCGCCGTGACGGAACTAGTACGGAGACACGAGAGCGGCGGAGCACCCGGGCAAGGCATGCTCCGGTATGGCAAAAGGATTTTGAGATGCAGTAATATTTTCTTCATTTATTTAGTCTTTTATTAGATGAACAAAATATAAACTCATTCGAGGATTTCTTTACGATTTTTTACCTCGTCGCTTTTCTTAAACCGTCAGGATTGAAAACGTAATTTATTAGGATTGACTATTGAGATTTTCTATATCTATTAAAAGAGGTGTTCCATTTCATCATAAGTATTAGAAATAATACTCTATTATAATTAGTTATCTTCGTTATTCAATCAATTTTTTATTGTATTGTTGTCATAGTTATTGTGCTACTATGATTAAAATTCTCTTTTGTAATCCTTATATATAGGGATGTATCTTTTATTATTGATTAAAACCAATTATTATCAAATTATAATATCATGGTATCAGAGCTAAAGTTCTAAAAAACTTAACTCTTCTTTTTCCGACTGAGCACATTGCGGGTCTCCGCTCACGGCGGTCGACTAACTGACAACATGGCATCAGCGAGAGATTCTGATGAGCATGCCTAACACCTGTTCACGGCAGTCAACCGTACGTCTGACAACATGGCGTCACCGACCAATTCCGATGAGCATGCCTAACACCTGTCGTCAATTATCCCTCTATTTCTCTCCAAAAAATTCATTATATCTCTCTCTTCCAAAAACATCATGTGCATAATCGAAGAACGAGTAAGTTACATTTGTCTGTGCCTTTTTAAGAGATTGAGTGCACAGAAATCGATAGAGAAGCAGAGAATGACCCAAAAAGAGAAGAAAAAAAAGAAAGTCCTCACCCTCGCTTTAATCACCAACACTCTGGAAAAACTCAGCAAAAGCAACCTCAAGCTTGTTCGTCATGTAACAAAGATTTGACTCTCTACTCATTTAGACTATCCTCACAAAACTGCTTCCGCCAACTCAATTCCAGTACATGTATTACAAGCCACTACTCAATACTAATGATCAGTTTACGGGAAAATATTAAGAATAATATAAAGAAATATTTGCACTAAATAGCACTAAAACTAAAGTCATTTTCCTGAATAGCAATACTAGGAAATAAAATATTACGGAGTATAAGTTTTATCTTCCTTATTCTATTAGTTCATTTATTTCCTGCATATTGTTTATAGAAATATTTGCACTAAATAGTACTAAAACTTAAGTCATTTTCCTAAATAGCACTTAAACTGTTTTACTCCCTAAATAGCACTTAATAATGTCCATAATGTCTATTAATGGCAAATATTTACTTGAATAATGACTAATGCATAATGACTAAAAGTGCTACATTGGAAAAAAAACACATGTGATGCTATTTAGGGAAAGTCATTATGTTTTAATGCTATTTAAGTAAACAACAACAACTCAGGTGAATCCCACAATAATGCTATTTAAGTAAGTTCCTCTTATTTATACATTATTCTTAATAGCAAGCAATAAAATAGTCCTAAATTTATGGCAAAATAGGCAAATTCTATGGTGGAGTTAAGGTTTACCATGAGCTTACATATGAGAAAAATAAATAATTTCTTACTACTTAGAGGAGTAATTATTTTTTAATAAAATAAAAAAATATGTGAGAAGATACACAAAAATAGTATGCACTCAAGGGAAACCATATATAGAAGCACCCTAAATCACCATCTTTTTTTTAAAAAAAAAGTTGAGGTTTCACGTACAAAACTCAAACAGTGCATGCACATGAGGGCGTGTTAGAGTATATAAAAACTATTCCTAGACCATGATCACAAACTTGAACTTTTGGATGAATTGGTCCTTGAGAAACTTTTCTATATTTGATTCATACTTTTGGTTTATTTTGTTTATCAAAATTACTCCCTCCGTCCCACTCTCTTTGTCCACTTACCTTTTGGCACACCATCATTCACTTCTTTAATCCATTTTATCTTGTAATTTGTATATTAAAAAATTATAAAAATTATATATTAATAATCTATATGTTAAGACAAATCAAACAAGATCACACATGACTATATTTAGCCTTACACATTGAGAGAATTTGTTGAGTCAAAATGTTTAGATGAACAGTTCCAAAAGTCAAAAGTGGACAAAGAGAGTGAGACGGAGGTAGTATTTATATGCATCTATTATAATTTTGTTTTATTTTTTTAAAATAAAAATGGTACCATGCATTAGTTTCATACTTTCAATGACATGCCTTATTATTCCCTTACATTAGTAATTAATTATAATTATAATTATAATTATAAAATTAATAATGATATTTTCCATTATAATATTTTTATTTAAAATAAACTATGCCAATTATATTATGCTAAAAAATGTCACATATTTTCTATGTAGTCTTTCAATAATTTTGGTAAATTCTAATTTTAGGACAAAATTAATCCAAAAGTAAAACTTCATCAAAGAGAACTAAATACAAAAATATTGCCAAAGAACTTGTGGCTAGAAGCCCAAGAATTGAAATTTTGCGTTTCAGTTGTTATTAGACCTCGTTTGGTATCAGCATTAGAGTTTAGTTTTAGCGTCTTGAATATTTCATAGAAGAATTTTCCCTATGTTTTAGTGCTACGTAAATTCCCCTTTACCTTTTTTTTTTAAATTCTTCTTTACTTAAATCGTCAAACTTGAAAAATATTGCAAGTCTCGAGAAACATAGCATACTACCCCTATATAAAAAGGATAAATTAAATTGGCGGCCCCGGAGCTTATTAGGGAAATAAAAGAGATGGGATAGAGAAAAACCAACACAATATTTTATGCAGTAGTAGAAAAAATGTGAACTTCATCGTGGAAACATAGAATACAACAAAAATGAAGTGCTCCGAAATCTAAACGAGCCTTTGACGTTTGTTATTGTTGTTATTTTTATCAAGTTCATGATAATAATGAGCATCAGAAGCAGCAGCTTGTTGAGCAAACATCAAGTCTTGATGATATGACTCCGACCATATATCGCAGAAGTCTTCGAGTGGGTACGAGCAGTCGTCGTCGTATCTGATTGGTGATGGTGGGAACGGAGCCGACTCTACTTGAAGCCTTTCATCGCTTGGCGCGAAATCGGAGAGCATCATATAATCTTGGGCAACGCATGGCGACAACGTGTTTGTTGGATGCTGATGCTGAGCTTCAAGATTGTCGTTGAGTAGATAATGAAGAGGATCATCATTTGGAGCATCATCATGTTCATGTTGATGATGAAGTGTAGGACTTGTGTTTGGAAGGGTGGGGTTGATCTCCTCTTGTTGGATCAAGAAGTTCATCATGGCTTCATTATATTGGCTTGATGATAATGATGATGATGAAGATAATTGAGCAGCAGTATAAGCATTTGGAAGGAGGGATTTATCCTCTTGTTGATGATCATTTGGAAGGAGGAGGAGGGGGGTTTCCTCTTGTTGATGAATCAATAAATTCATCATGCCTTCAATAAAATCTTCATCATGATAATCTGGCACTTGTGGTGCAACAAATGATGAGTTGTTGTTCATGTTCTTGTGATGATATTCCTTCATTCCTTCATCACTATCTTGATTATGATGACTTTCTCCAGCAACAATGGTGATTGGAACAAGGGCTTTATCATTATCTTCTTGTTGATGATCTGCCGCAACAGCATTATTATCATGAAGAAGATGATCTTGTTGTAGTACTTGTGGTGCAGGAACAAAAGAGTTGCTCCTCATCATGTTCTTGTGATATATCTTCACCAAAACATAGTCATCAGCCACCTGCTGCATTCATACATTTGCACCCACACAATTCCAAACAAAATGTTAGCATGCATATCATGCATGCACATTTAAGTGAAATTTAATTTGCACTAAATAAGACTAAAACATAATGACTTTCCTAATGTAGGACTTAAACTTTTTTATTCTCTAAATAGGACTTAATAATGACCTAGTGGAATGAATAATGTTCAGAAATAATGGACATTTAGTTGAATAATGACTACTTCATAATGACCAAACGTCCTATATT